GAGTCCTCCGTCTTTAATTTTGCCAAGTCAAGCACTGGTAATTATAATAAAACGCAGACCGTTATTATTAGTCGTCCCAGTGCGCGCTCGTATTCGGTGTATAGTATACATGTATAATATTACGTATGTACGAACGATGAAACGTTTTCATTCACCCCGTCCGTCGTACCGCGTACACCAGGTGCATGTGTAGGGATGGCAAAAAATCGTTAACCATCTCTGTATCGTAATTTCGATACATTGCATACCCAATATAGATACCATGATATATCCACCTCTAATATATCGATAAACATATATATATGTATCAGAATATTTTTCCAATATTTAAAATGTTTATAGACTTGCAAATAGGACATAGGTTATAATTTATTTTAATACAATTTATAACCATAAGCCGTAACTTATAATCGATACTTACTACAGGAATAATGCCAAATTAATTGAATAATCAAAGCATGTCTATTGAACAAAATTATAAACTATTTTATAAAACCAGAACAATATTAATAAATTTAAATTGCAATTTTTTATATATTACAATACACTCTTAGAAAATTATAATGAAAATAATTTTATATATATATATATAAAAATCTCATGTCACAGTGTTTGTGACCATACTCCTCCAAAACGGCTTGACCGATTTTAATGAAATTTTGTGTATACATTTGATAGGTCTGCGAATAGGTTCTTATCTATTTTTTAAACTCCTAAGTGCTATTGTTTAAAACATCGTAGTTTAATTTAATAATTTTTGACCCGGTCGATAACTGCGCAATTGAAAATTAATTATTAAATGATACTATTAAAAAACTATTAAAAAACTATTAATTTTATTTTTGGTATTAAATCAGGGGTATTGCATAAATATTAAACAACAAGATCTCGCAACAGGTGCTAAAACAAACAAGAATGTTAGTTCGAAGGATTATTATGCATATCGGTTGATGATTAGATGCGATCAGAACAACGTTATTCTACGATGTCGTGAGTTTTGTCGATAATTCATTGTCGACATGTATATTAAGATAGATAGCGAACGGTTACGATACTTGCAGTACAATAAAAAGAAGCTCCGTGCGGAAGATTCTCAAAACAATTGTTAGATATCATTGATGGGAAATTTACTACAAATGAAACGGAATGTATACAATTACCAACCGATTTTTGCACAATCATTGATTCGGAAGATACTCTTATTGACCAGATATTTCGCAATGTACACAGACAATACACAAATCATGAGTGGCTGGCAGAAAGAGCAATTTTAGCAGCAAAAAAAGTAGACGTCAACGAATTGAATCTTAAGATACATCATTTGTTACCAGGAGACTTGGTATCATACAAATATATTGATGCAGTTTCCTATGCTACTGAAGCTGTAAATTACCCAACAGAGTTCTTAAACTCATTAGATTTATCAGGAATGTTATCGCATAATTTTTTTTTTTCATTTTTATATTTCGTCACCGTTCACAGCACTCCTTACCTCTTCCACTTATATACCACACATATATTAAATTAGTTATTTTTTTCTAGCAAAATATTGTCTAGAAATAATTAATATGACAAAACAACGTTTGTCGGGTCAACTAGTATTACTTATATATTAATATTTATATATGAGTATAACATCCCAAATAATTTGGAATAGTGTATAATAATATTTATTGGTGATTTACCGAAGAGTAATCACATTAAAATATCGTTAGACATGATAATATCAAACCGATATATCGGTAACGTTGTGTCGATGTAAAATGTTACTATATATCAACTTCATGTATCGATATTTTCGATACATCCCATATATCGTTACCATCCCTATGTATGTGCGCTCGACTGAAAACACGAATGCGAATGTAATACGTTCAACGGGCAATGGTCGAGTTCCATTAAGTTCATTGTTTTATCACCGTTCGACATACCGAACGATACAATTTATAAACTTTTACCACTCCGTTTTGCGATTACTCGTCCGCGTACGAGTGCGAGTCGGATCTCGACGAACAACGATGCGACGCACGTTCTACGTTATTTCAGAAAACGTCGAAGGCATTAATCAAGATTTGAACCGCCACGATAGAATACGTCAATCCCCGATTAAGGATTTGATGATGGATTCGTTTCAGGGTTGGTTCGGCATCGTAAAATATAACGCATTGCGTCATCAACGAGCCTGATTTTACCTCGAATGGATGACCACTGACTAAGCATGTGTTTTGCCTGTTCCGTCATAACCAACGCTCCTCGGGGAAGGCGTGAAATTATAATTAATTGTGATTTCAGAAACCATATCTATTTATTTATATGCCCGATGTTGTTTAAGAAATTTAAAAACGGTTTAAAAAAAGCCATCTATAATAAATATGACCGGTATAACACAAATTGGTAATGAGTTTTTTTTTTTTTTTACCTTAGATCCAACATAGATGGTTCATCATGCTGTGGTTGAACGTAGCTAATATTTAATCATCTAAAGAGATTACTGATTTTACTAAGCATTTTAAAAATTATAATGAATAAAACAATTTTTAGGTAAACGGTTATGTACCACAAAAAGTATATAAAAGTTGGTAGAACATGTAAATGTGAATATTTATTATGTGGTTTTTATTAATAGAACCACAAATGATATAATTTAATAAGATATATACATGATTTATATTTGTACGTTTATTTTAATTATTTTATTGAATTTACAATAAATTTAAGTAAAATGTGATAAAATAACTCCTAACTTTACATTTCAGAATATATATGTATTAAAATATTTTATTTTTATTTCAAACTAAAAATGCTCGTAAGTTGAAAGTATATTGTTCTAAGATAAATATAAAAAAATATTTTACAGATTAAATTATTTGTAATACGAGTAGTTTTGAAAACTGTATTTTAAGTCAGATATTTATAATGTATGTACATTAGGGTGACCATATTAAGAAAATAATAAAACGGGATAGCTGTTACTTCTCCCCCCCCCCCCCCCCAAATAAAAAACCTCTTACATATACATTTACGCGTATGCACACAAATGTCGAGAGTTAAGACCAAATATCTGTTATATCATAAACAATTATTTTCTTTTTACTTTACCCTTTTTTAGTAAAATAAGTTAAAATATTTTTTTTTATTTATTATTAAATTATTAAATCAGTAATTTTATAGTTCGTCGGCATCGGAACTTGACGCTCGTTTCACGAAAACTTTTATCTGTTATTTCTAACTTTGGTTTCATATTTTAAATATACGTGTAAAACTGTTTTATATTTTTTCATACTTAGATATTTTATTTACAAGCATTAATAACTTATATAATAAATAATATAGATATAACGGAATTAAAACGGGACAATCTTCTAAAAACGCGATAAAAAGCGTCTCATTCGGGTCGTAGCCCATTCGGCTCTCGTTTTACAAAAAGGTCAATTCCCAAACGGCTCCCGTCCAAAAAGGTCTAACGAACAGATAAATTCCTAAACGGCTCCGGTTTTCTACACCACAAATTCCTTCCCACTTTATTCAGACTTAGGACTGTCTCAAAAAAGGTGTAGTTAAAAATGTCTTTGTGTACAATATGTAAATTATTAAAATTATATAAAAAAAGCGTATAGTATAATATTAAATTTAAAATTTTTAACGTTAAAAAAATATTTCAAAAATGTAAAAAATGTATAAATAAAAATATTGTTAGGCACAATTAAGGTACATATAATAACATTGACGCAGTGAAACACGGTCGTGGTTGCTCTAGCCAAATCGTATCTTAAGTCTGTATAAAGTGGGAAGAAATTTGTGGTGTACAAAACCGGAGCCGTTTAGGAATTTACCTATTCGTTAGACCTTTTTGGACGGGAGTCGTTTGGAAATAAGCGAACTATAGACGGGAGCCGTTTGGGATCCGACGCTCATTCGAAGTTTGTCGGGACAACGGGACGTGATGATCAAAAAAAGAGACGATCCCGTTTTAAACGGGACGTCTGGTCACCCTAGTGTATGTACAATATGTTCATTTTGTGAAAGTAATAATTTTTATTAATTGTATATCACAAAAGAATTGAAACAATTTTTCGAAAAATACTGACTTCTTCTTATTCGTCAAATAAATTTCATATCTTATATCAAAATCAAATATTTACTTTGCATATTTTATATGACTGATTTAGTGTAAGAAAAAATTGTTTTAACAACCTCTCTATTTTTCTTTTAACATAATTATTCATTTTCTGGTATTCTAGTTTTATATTAGCAGAGTATAATGAAAACATATTGAACATATTTTTTATAATTTTCAACGTAAAAGTTATATAATAATGTGGATAAAGAAATATAAAATTATTTAGAATGTTTTTTTTATTATAAAAAATATAAAAAAGACAATACAAAATTCAATTTCAAAATTTTAAAAAAAATTGTCAGCTCACAGAGTTTTTAATGTCAAATAATAATATACGTAAATAAATTGTATTACTTTCCTTTTATTTTTAACTTAAATTTCTATATTATGCTATCTTTATCTATTATAACAAATAATTAATATCATATGTTACAATATACTTAAAACCAAATGTGAAGTTAGAAATGTAAAACTGTATTCGTTTAATATTTTTGTCAAAAGTTTAGTTTTCCTTTAAAAAACAATTATAATACACAAGTTTTTTAATGGTTTTTATGAATTCGGAATTCATTTTGTATTATACTTATGCCATGCTGCAATAAAAATTAAATTTAATCATATTAATTGTATTCTGAACTGTCTATTTTTTTTATACTCTCAATAATCTCACATAAATATAATTTTTTAATAAAGTATCCTTAAAAGTAATGGTTTTTTTGAAAAATAAATTAAAGAAGTGGAGAAAGATTTTAAAATGAATCGTTTTTATTACGGTTTTTATATATTTTAAGTCAGTGTACTAACCACCATCTTTTCACCTAGGAATGATAATTAGTGATACGATTTTTTCCTTTTTTGATAAAAAAAATGTTCAACTTACTATTCCCGAAACAGTGATTTCTCCTGTAGTGGACAAAGGTAAGTAATCTGTAAGTATGCATCCATCCAACGCTGCGCTTAAGTGTTGTACAGGACAAGGTGCTCTCATTTCATTCCACCATGTCGGCCCGTAAGTTCCCATTATAAGCCATTGGTATTTTCCACCGAACATACCGACCCTAGAACATTAGATAGACGGTTCAGTGAAATAAACGGTTTTTAATTTCGTGAGAGACTAATTTGTTGAGTTTTTAATAACGATTTGTGTGTCAGCTGACCTGTAAGCTTCACAAAACACTTTTCTCGCCCAAGTTTCATTGAAATTTCCCAGGATTATCCGGATGTCTTTCTCTTGTAATTTTTTGATTGGTAGAGATACATCTCCGGCAATGTTTTGTGTGTCGTCCACAACAAAATTGTCCTTTTCTAGCATCGCTACTAGTTGATTATGTGCCTGCGAAAATAGACGGAAAACCAAAGCGATTAAACAGTAAAAAATCAGTATATTAGAAAAATAACCAGTTTTGTGGAAATAGAAATAAATGTTTTACATAAAGTAACGAATTACAATAAGTATAGTTGTAATTTTGGTCCTAAATGTGTGAACCTTTCACGTTTTATCACTTTTATGTTTAATAATATACTCGTACGTTTAATAAGGAAATATTAGTATTTTTTTCTTCTTGTTCGTTTATTGATTCATAATGATAAAACAATATCATATATAATAATCTGATTACTATATTAATTCTACCAATCATTACATATTTAATTAAAAACTGTATTTTTAAGATACAAGTGATGAAATAAAGATGAATAATTTTGATTATGATTACGGTAAAATAATCAAATTGAATGGCATTAATTTTCACGATTTAATTCCAGTTGAAATATTTATGACTTACAGATTTGTTAACTGTATTTAACATTTATATCAATGCAAAAATAATGTTTAAATTATGTTAAATTCGTTAAATTTAAAGTCATATAAAGAAACTAAGTGTGACATCATAGAGTCGACTTTTTACAGATTTTAAATATAAAAGAAACTGTATGTATTAAAATAAGAAATTAAAAATGTATGTGAGATATCAGTGACTATTTTTAAGAAACGCATAAGCTGAATTTAAATTTTATTAAAAAATTTATTTATCATAAGTCATGATATTTTTGACGAATTATTTTTTTACAATGATTAAGATTGTTTAAAATTAAAGCCATAGAAATTCAATATAATCATACGTATATATTAGAATCAAATAATTTAATTATGATTATAATAATTAATTATGCAGTCGTTTAAACTGAAAAAAATTCAGAAGATTAAAAATAAATGATACTATTCGAGCACTTCCTAGAATATTAATTAAATAACGAAGCATTAAGAAAGAAATTCTATTTTTATTTTAATATAAGTTATAGTTCTTTAACTAATTAATTCATATTAATTTATATAAATTGCCACGAAAAAATAATTATAAGTGACTGATGATAAGAATCTCTAAATTAATATTTTGAGTGACTTTTATTTAGAAAAATAGTTTTGAAGTTGAATTAACTCGCCATGAGTCGCATCATTGTATGTAATGCATGTGGTCACACAAGGTCTTTTTGACCGTTCATTTATATCTTATATTATTTTTAACATTTTATATACGAATGCATTTATTAATGATTTACAAAAATTGTACTTTATTTATTTATTATATTTTACAATGAAAATTGATATAACTGGAACTGTTATAGATTAAAGTGAAAATAAATTAAAAACAATTTGATTGAAAGAATATGTTTGAATACAATACAGTTATAATATTATTCTGATAAAACTAAACAAAAATATTTCAACCTTCGAAGAGATAAGAGGTAAGTGACTGTATATATTGTTTTTGTTGTTTTTTCCGTTTAAAATTGGATGCCGGCGAAAATATTACGTAACAAAATTGTTACTGAGTTTAATTGCACACGGTCTTTTTGACTGGTTACAGACTTTAAAAATATCTTTAAATTCGACAAACAATAATTGAATATTCTGAATAGTTTTAAATAATAGGTTGACGTGTAAATTAAAGGTAAAAAAATTCACGAAATAAAGTAAATTACTCATAGTGACTTATTATTATTATTCAGACTTGAGTGGTAATTTGAATACAATATTCAGAATACTGTATTCAGAATACTTTTAAGTATGTCGAATACTTTTTAAATTCTTTTTTTTGAAAGTATTCAATAAAGTATTTTGAATACTTATAACGATGATTTTGAATACTGTATTTCGAATACCGTCGAATCATCTCTTTTTTTAAATGATTTTATTACTTTTCCGCCGTATCTTGTATAAGCTAATATCGGGAATTTATTATTGTTGTAAACCATAATAACTATAACAGTTATGTAATATAAAAATACAATAAAATAACATATATTTAATTTATAATTTTAAATATTTCTGTTGAGTGGACATCTATTATATTTATAGTATTAAAACTAAAAGTATTTTAAAAGTATTTGGAATACAATTTGTATAAAATATTTTACCCAAGTCTGTTATTATTATATTAGTAAAATAATAAACTCACGATCTTTTAGACCATGATGCGATTCATGGTACGTTAACTCACAATTTAATTTTACGAATAAAAATAATTTAGTAGCATCACCTAAAATTTGCATCTCAACACTTCATGAACATTTTGAGCAGTTTTTATTAAATTTCCTTATTAGTTACCTTTATTCTCATTCGTATTATTTTACAAATAAAAATGTAGTACGTTTATTTATTTTTGCGTAAGTCGTAGTTATTTATATATTAATTGTGTGTGTATGTGTGTTTATGTGTATTTATTTATTATTTATCTATTATCTTTTATTTACTATCTATCATTTTTTAGTTTTTACATTTTTTGTCGTTGTGTGCAGATTTGTTAGCAAAATATAAGCTTGTAAAATTTATTTTTATTGAAACGTGAAAACAATCGAACAAAACCCAGACTCCTTATGTCTCAGGACTTGGTATTCTTATTAAATGCTTAGCGATGGTAAACATATAGGATAAAGATAATTGTATAATGATAATGTCTGAAAATTCTTGTTGCCAAGGAAAGCTATTATTAAATTAATTGTTTTTATTTTCAATGTTCAAGAAAATAATTAATTAATGTACTAGAGTTAACCATAGATTTAAAGAATTAAAACAACTATGCTGGTTAAATTGTTTATGTTTACGACAGTAGGATAATTTTAAATTCACATGGTAAGTTTATCTAGATTTGAAATTGTTTGAGTAATTATTTTTATGAGTTTGATAATAGAATTGAAGATTGGGTAGCTTTTGAAGTTAGCTGTATGGGCAGTTTGGCAAAGTACGCATTTGGCTGAACTTTTTCTATCTTTGGAGTAGTCTTCAGTAAGATGATTTTCCTCACACCTCAGTGAGACTCTTAATTACAGTAATTACTTGTATTCCCATAAGCCTGGCAGTTGTGGCACTATGAAGGCCCACTTTTGATTTTGTTTAGTTTTGAAACTTAGAGGCTTTTGTTATTTTAGGATAGTAAAAACTATTTTAAACACTGAAAATTGGTGTTAAAATTTCACAAATGTGGGTACTACAAAGTGCAAAAATTATTACAAGTTATGTTATTTACTTATATATAGGTTCTTAAATATATGTATATACTGAATAACAAATTTTTTTAAATTTTATATGGTATCATAGTTTGTTTGAAATATATTTAACAAATTCCACAATTGGTTTTCCTGATTTGTTTAAAATATTTTAAATATGATGTATTGTATATTGTATTGTGTATTTTTTTTGTATCACTAGGATATTTTAAAATGTGTTTTTTTTTTTTTTTTAATTTAGGAGCAAATATTCCAATATTTATCTTAAGTATTTAGTTTAAAGCATTTTTATTATTGTAAATAATTTGTTATTAATGTGAATTATGCTTGAAGCTTTTGCAGATAATTAATGTAACAAGATACAATAAAATTAACATTTTGAACTATTTTACGTACGACGAAAAATATTATGCACATTAATAACATCATCAATTCAAATCATAATTACAAGTTGTATCAAGCATCTCGTATTCTTGGGTCTCAAATTAGGGGCATAATATATTGGACGAACTATCGTTATAAAGTTCTTCGGGGTTTCTTACGGAAAATTTGCTGGTGGTAATAATGCGTTACATAAATAAGACAAATTTACAATGAAAAAACGACACTCGTCAGTTTGGAAATTATTTTTACCAAAAAAATAATAAAAACTGACAAATATTGTTTGAAAAAAGACTATTACTATAAAACGAATGAAATGGTCTATGGTACGAATAGCACTAGCACGTATTACGTAAACCAAAAGTTTGAAAATTAAACAGGGTTTTTTTACGATCGAGTGAAGTTTTTAAGGGACAAAACAATAAATCGTGTTACTTTTGCGTTAAAGATAAATACAATAATAACATAAACTTTTTTTATTGATATTAATAGAAATGTTTGATAAGTAATTCTAAAAGCTTCGTAGATTGTGTTAAAACGGATCAATAAATCTTATTATAATGATAATAAAGAAAAAAATGATAATCTAACATTATAATGTTTCTATTGAAAATTTTGATATTATCAGCAATAAATTAAAATTAATAAAACTTGAATACCAAAAGGACATGTAATTACAATACAATAATAAAATAAAATTATTAAAATATTTTTAAGTTTCTAAAATTTGAAAAATATAATAATAATAAAAAACAAAAATTCTATGTTTCTTATTCAATTGAAAAACTATGTCAACAAGGAAACCACAAAACTTTCTTGTTATTCTTCAGAAAAGTAAAGTTATTAAAAATGAATAGAATTATCATAGTTTTAAATGGCAATAAACAATCAAGTAGAAAAAATTATGTTGTAAATAAAAACTGTATCAGTTGTTTTTATAATTAGTTACCATTACGTACATTTTACATAGAACCCGTAAATATAAAACTAACAATTTTCTAAATTATTATTTTTTAAATAACACTGCACCTGAGACTAGCATTATATTATCCTGAACTTTTTTTTGTTCGTATTTTTTCCTTACAAAGGTTGATAGGTTGGAAAAGAAAAGGGAGAAAACTTCTTATAACTCATTACAACTGTTCTTATAACCGTTTGTTAGTTAAATTAATAAATCATTTAACAAAAACTTTTCTTTTGTACAGTTAGAAAGAAAAAGAAACAAGAAAAAAGTTGCAATAATAATAATTATATGTTTGTAATTATTAATATTATTTAAAGTAACTATTTATAAATATCCAATATAATTAGTAGGAATATTACGTGGTTTTTAGGTCACGTTTGATCATCAATATGGGTATTTGTGACTGAAAGAGTAGTCTAAACTATGTCTGCTGGATGGAGAACGATTTAATATAATATGATGTTGTTCTAATTAGGTCATAT